GGCCAATAACTTAAGCCAACATAAAAAGTTACATTCAGTGGGAGGTAAAGTTATTATATTCCTGTAGTTTCTGAAATGATAATGTAACATCTTCCAAACTCAATTATCGATCTCATCATTATTTTAAACTAGCTAATATAAAACATCACACCAATATACTGAGGTTCTAACGATATAAATCCAAAAAGGTGATAAATTGATGGAGGCTGTAAAAAGGTTATTAAAGATTGTACAGTTGACTTGGTATGACTGCCTGGATAATAAAACTGTCTACAATCTCCCAGAATTCAATGTTCTTTATCTAATAAAACATTTTCTTTTTACCCTAACCTTTAAATAAAATATCTTTATATAACGCCTTGACTCCTACACACAAATATGAACTGAGCTGCCTAAAAAATGCAAGACAGAACTGGCCTTTATTGATGAAAATCAACACAGTTTGGTAATTGGGTTGAGCAATGAAAATCCCTCTGAGTGAATGAAAATGCCTGGGTGTGAAACTTTGAACACCAAATCATTAATATTTTTCAGAATGAATTTGAAGAGAAAACTAGGAATCACAGAAAGACATAAACCTGTTTCCTACCTAGCTGTAATGAGGGTCCTACCAATAATCTTTGGTCAATAACAATAAAGAAGCAAAAGCAAAGCCTCTCTCATGACAACATATCAGTAATGTTGAAGAAAATTTTCTGAGAAAAACAGGAACCGTGGAAAGACATAAAACTGTCTCCTACCAAGCTGTAATGAGGGTCCTAGAAATAATCTATGTTCAATACCAATAAAAGCAAACCCTCTCTCATGACAGCATATCAGTATTCCTGAATAGCACTTTCTGTGCAAATCAGGAACCGTGGAAAGACATAAAACTGTCTCCTAGCTATAATGAGTGCCATACCAATAATCTGTGGTCAATACCAATAAAGAACCAAAACCAAAGCCTCCCTCATGACAACATATCAGTAATGTTGAAAACATCCCAAGAAAACCAGGAACTATACTCATAGAAAGACACGTAAAGACCTGTCTTGTAGACATACTGATAAAGATGCAAAAGCAAACCCACTCTCATGACAACATAGCAGTATAGTTGAAGAGAACTTTCTGAGAAAACCAGGAAATAAAACTGTTTCCTAGCTATAATGAGGTCCATACCAATAATCTGTGGTCAATACCAATAATCTCTAGTCAATAATATCTACTAATAAACTCAAAATAAATCACCAGTGACATTTCTAACCTATAAATCACATTAATTTCATCAGAATTTCTCCTTCATCACTCTAGAAAATCTTCCATTATGGCAAGACTGACTATGACAGTCATCCTCAAGAATCTCAAATGTATCCTACCCTGCATTCAGTCTTCAAAAAAGAGTCTACTGAATTGTTTGTTATTTTCATACAGTGTACATTGAGAAGAATGACTTTCACATGCATATTCTCATACTCGTAATCTTGTTTGCTCCCTACTGTTGAGGCATCTTTAATATGCAGTCTGTAGAACACACAGAGCGACTGAAAAGAAGCTTATCCATGCCAAACCCTCCAAAACTGATAAAAAAAAACAAGGTCAGATGACATCATCAGTATCTAAGCCAAGGACCAGAGACACCTTGAAGAGTTAACCCAGTTTCCAGTCATACAATGACATGGCAAAATTTCTCGATAACTTCTGCAACGGACATGACCAATATGACAAACACTACTAGATAAATGATGAAGATAAATTCATGGACATTAACTAAATTACGCTGGCCATCTCCTACATCTAAATCATCAAATTACTACAATGACTGGACAATCTCGTCTGAATATTGCTAATTCTCTACGAGGCAATCAGGGTAGATAATTCATTTATCAGATTTCTGCATCTTGAATAAATACAATTTGTACAAATCAGCAATCAGCACTTACAAGAAGATATGAAAAGAAAGAAACATTCGTGTTTTGCAAGAAAGAAAGATTTTTCGAATTTCTTTAAAAAGGCTGTACAAAATTGTTAGACTTTACTACTGCAAAATCTATATATTTCAAGGAAGCTTTTAAATAAATATTTTTTTTTAATAATTTTAGCATTAATACTGACTCAAAAGATACTTTTATTAAAAAATTTTGAGGCTTAATAAAACTTTTCAAATTTCATTATGCAAAATCGTTATATAGATTTGAAAGCGTGCAGAATTTTATAAAATACAAATAATTTAATATCGTCTAGAATTATGATTAGGATGCTCCATCAGAATCAGAGAAACATTTCTAAATTAAATTTGGCTTGAAACTCATACTATTGAGAAAAGAGAAAAAAATATTTTGATATCATTTCCAATTCAATAAATACTCAGCCAAATGCAACAGTCTTAAAAAAAATCTCCTTTGAACATTTAATTTAAAATCAATTTACCAATATCTCAACACAGTCTTAACATGGGATTTAAGAATGATTTATATGCAGTGAAATTTAAAAAGGAAGCTTGAATAAAGTGTAATGATAATCTAGCTAGACAGCTTTCTCATGATAAATGACTCGCTTTTACTTTAATTATATTGTAATGTTTAGAGTCTCAATATCTTTCACAGATTTTAACAGAAACTGACTGCAAGAGAAATTTTTTTTGTATCTCATCATTAAGATTGAAAATTGCAAAAAAATAATGAGTGCTATTTTATTCCAATACCTTTTACAGATTTCAGAGGGAATCCACTACAAATTTAGTTTTGTCTGTGAGAAAAACCATCCTTCTTTCACAAGGTTTAAATCACTTATGTACATCACTTATGTAACAAGCTTGAAAAGAGTGAGGGTAAAATAATTTAAACATGTAATAATATATATATAGTTTGCCCATCACTTCTTAACATTATGTGCCTGAGGACGACGGGGGAAACACGTTGAAACTTTACATAAAACTTTAACCAGTGATTGTTGTTCCATAAAGCTGTGTCTACATACCGTACTCACAATTGCTAAATGCCATTCAAAGACTTTACATATTAGATTATTGGGAAAGATCACAAGGAAGAGTGTCTCTTACAACTGAACATCTAAGAAAGTTATTATCATCATTAGTTATTATATTTAGTAAGATGTTTATCTTGCTGTAATATTTACTATCTTCTATGAAATGGTCTGTCAATCTTACTACCTAGAGCACTCCATGTTTCATTATATAACTAAGACAATAATAATAAACTATGTGTAAATATCAGAGTGAATTGAGTTTTACGTCCTACTTTTCTGCACCACGTGGGCTAATGAAGACGGGCAACGCCATGCAGGGTGCGATGAGGGAAATTTTGCCAGGACAGCGACATTAGCCTGCTCTTTTTCGATTTCAAACTGTCGAGGGATCTTTAACGTGCACAGTCTGTAGCACACGGGGCCTCGGTTTATTGTCACATCCGAACGACTAGACGCTTTTTCCATGTCAACCCCTCTTACCTGCATCACTGACACGGGGAAATGTAAATATCAGAGAGAGAACAACTTTTTTAGTGGAGTTTTATTGACATAATAAGAACAAGATCAGTAATTGTGTAATGCCAAAAAATACTTGTAAGCAAGCACTAGCTTTGCAAATGTAGCACCTTACAAGCATCCACCTCATAGGAGGAAGTGTAGCTAATTTCAGGGACTGATTGCAAGAGGCATATGAAGGGCCTGTAATGATATTTGATTTACGCTTCCATATTTGATTGTCTTATTAAAACTTCAGATCTTTGTATTGGTTTAATTCTTCCATTGATATCATTTCTATCAATATTTGCTTTAATCAAGGCCTAATCAGAGAACTGATTGTGGAGGTCAATTGGAGTCAAAGGTCATAGGTCATCAATCACTCTTGATTGAAGATTCTGACCAATCAGAGCCTTGACATTAGTCAACATTAAGATTAATGGAAGAGGTTAAGACAGGACCACTTTACAAGGATAATAATTACCATGGTGGCCATTTCAAAATTGCAATAAATAATGATCCACTAACTTTTGCGTGATAATATGAAAATGCTGAGGAAATGAACAAAACTAAGTGGTGCTAAGCATCCTTCTATTCAGCATGGTATTGGATAGAACATTCCTATCAAAATTCCTGTAGTCATAGGGACTGTACGTTCTTTGATGCACCACTTTTGACAAAGAGATTCTTTTTCAAAGTAGGTTCCAAGACAAATCACATCCATCTGGACAAGGGGAAACTGGATGGAACAAGATGGTGGAACAAGATGGTGGACCTACAGGTCTTTCAACCATATCAGAAGAAGTTCAAAGGACTTTTTAACCATCATCAGTTATAGCTATTCCTTCATTAATCTATATATTTTACAGGACATCACCCCATTCCTAACATGGCAATTAATAGCACTAGGGTCAAAATACAATTAGTTATCACAAGACTTGGAGACTGTTACTAACAAATTGGAAAGATGACATCAAGCAAGAACATTGACACATCAAAGGCAATAATTACTGGCTGAAAATGAGTGATTTAAAGATGGTGGTAGGGTCAAATTATAGACTAAGGGGTGAATTAAAAGTTGACCATCAAAGGACCTAATCAACTTCATTGGTAGATACTCACACATCAGTTATTAGTAGGCCTATAATGACTATAGTCTAGTAATGAAAGGGAAGAAAAGATTTAGGTTAAGAATGTTCATTTTTGGTGATTGACAAGCAGCATCCAGGCTTTCTCGTAGGGCTTGCTTCTAGTAGCCCACAGGATCAAATTATAGACCAAGGGGTCAGTTAAAAGCTGATATTGATGTAGTGATTGTAGTATGGTGATGAATTGAAATAATTTCAAGGATGTTTATTTAGCTGTATGTAAAGTCAAGCAGCAAAGCTCAAATGTTAAGCAGTGACATGGCTCTACCAGAGGGCTATAGACTTCGTTCTTTTAGCCTGCATGGTCAATTTATAGTCCAAGGGCAAATTAAACGGCACACGAACGGCCTTAGACGGTGATTTTTGTTACTGACTAGAGTCTTGTCAAGAGTTTCACCAATTGGCATGGGCACACAAGGACACAAAAATCTCAAGTCGGTCTTTTTCCAACATGTTGATAATCCAATGCGGAGCATGCAATTGAAAGAAAAATGAAAATGATCGACTGATGACGGTCCGTCTTGCTGAGGATAAAAAAGACGAGACAATTATCAAGCTTGATTGATATTATAAATCCTGTCGGAGCCAAGATAATCTTTTTGTGGAAGCCCGAGCAAATGTGAGATTTTACTCAAGACAAAAATCTCCAACAAAGACTGTACCTTAAGGCCAATAATACATATTTGAATATTGACATCTAGAACCATTGGAAATGCCGTCAATGGAATAATAATTGTAGAATCATGAAGTCGATAATGTGACAATTACAACTATAGATTATCAATATATTAATTAACTATTTCCTACACCAAGTTCTTATACAAACAAATCATATTATCACATGGTCTATAGTCAATCGTAATGTGCCTTTAAGGTCAGGATTGACTGTAGTCGAAATACAAATAAAATCTTAGTCAAAACCCAAATTAACCACATGACTAAATCAGACTCTGAAATATCACCAAAGTTTTTGAATGTTTGGCAAGACCAACTGTGGTCAGAAACATTATGAGCTATGGTTGACTACTCTAATTGTAATCAAACTAAAATGTTGACACATTTTGTTCAGAAAGCCACTCTATTAGTAAATAATTTTCAAAGAAGCTGGACTTACCTTTAACAGATTGATCTTCTAAGAAAGTCAGCCATTTTGTACATTTACTGAGAATTATGCCAACATCCATCAACATATAAAATCTGAAAAAAGAGAGACAAGATGGAGTTTTACTACCTTCTGTTTTGTTCCACATTATGCAATTAAGGATCAATCCTTTTATGAACCTGAACAAGTTGTATAAAGTCTATACATCATACTTACAATTTTTAAATGCCCTATAAAGACTTTATCTTAAACAAGTATTTTCTATTCAAACACTCAATAGAAGCATTTCATTCTTATGAACTTTGGCATTGCAAGTAAGTTTTTTTTTTTTTCGCCACCAAATCTCACAATAATAAGGGAGGAAGACAAATGATCTAAAATTTAACTTTACAATTATTTACCTGTGTAAAACCTTGTCCATTATGACAATCTCAGTGTTAAAACTGTCTATCTCTAGATGTTGAAGTCGTATTTTATCCAATATTTGTTTGTTATTTTCTATGTCCCATGGTTCCTCTAGTAATATATTTATACCTGAAATAAAATATTACAAGTTCTTAAAAGTCAAGAAAAATTTCTCAATCTTTGATGTGCTTCAGGGCAGATTAAAATAATTTTAAGCCCAAGATAAAGAGACAATACAACTAATATAACAATCAATATGTTTGGTCTTATCTTTGACTCATTTTTTGCACTAAAATATGCCAATGTATTTTTAAGATTCACAATGAAAATAGGCAACAAAAAAATTTTTTAGAGTAAAATGTTTAGATAAATATTTGAACTGATTCTACAAGAAAGTTACCTTGTTTTGTGCCAAGTTTTTCTATCAAATGTAGATATTTCCTATTGACTGTACCATTAAACATCAGTTGACAACATTTACTGTACAAGACAGGTAATAATGATATAAACCTTGATACACTGAATCCATATTCCCCCTGTATATTGTCTTCTGGTAGGTTCAGATGTCGTACCAACACCTCAAGCCAGGTCTGGTTAAATTTTATACTATTATGGGATGTATCTGACAGGAATATTCTAAAGGCTGTCGTTAGTGAATGGATTGTGGTGTTGATTTCACCTGTACTTGATTGGTGATGCAAGTTTTGTCTGAAGTGTAAAAAAAAAGTGACAATTAGGAGAAATGATATCAGTCTACGGTTTTACAGTTTATGTGGTGAAAGAAAGGGAAATTTATCAAAAAATAAGCTAAGTTATGCTTTTAAAGGTCTAACAGCAATGCCAAACACTTGATGCTAGTGTTGGTAAGAAGAGTGTTGTTTTACAGGATCATGCTTATTAAGAGTTATGCTTATTGAACAATATGACTCAGATATTCATCTGAATCAGAATCATCAAGAGAACTAGTCTAATTCTACAGATAAATCAAATGAATTAATGTTGATGACCCACTGCAGCTTAGCCAATATTTTCAAAATTAAATAAGTATATCACTTACAATGTTGTGTATTTATTGATGAAATGGGAGAGAACTCCTGAAGCCTGACAGGTGTTAAACAATGTAATATTTTCATTTAATTCTGATGTTCCAGGCCACACTAGAGGTACCAGATCATTCTGAGAGTCGTCTGTTGACAGGTTTATATTGAAACCATTACAAGAATTCTGTATGATCTCTGCAGCAATCTGAATTGAACAAATGAAAAGAAATGTGAATTTTCCAGAATTAAAATAATATCATCTATGACAAGCAGTTGGATACAAGAATATATGCCTGCACAGCTGAAATTTCATTGCAGTATCAATCTAATATCCAAAAATAATGTTGGTGTAAAAAAAAATTAAAATAAAGAAAGGTGGAAATCAAGCAAGACACCTCTTAAAAATTTTGCGCCAATGAAAGGGATAGAATTTCCATAATAAAAAGCAATTATTCTGGCTCATCAAGGCAGAAAAATCAGACAAGAAAATATCTCATTTTTCCACACTAATAAAAGGGATTGGATCGTCCGTTAAAAAAAATAAAAAACTTTAATTTCCCATCTATATTCATAGAAATATGTCAAGAATGCTGATTGAGCCTAAACATTTTCTATTCATAAATTCTGGAGAAAATCCCATTTGATGTGAGAAGAAGATAAAGACAACTGACAGAGTTTTGAATCAATATTCATATATCATTTATTTTCTATATTACATAATATACACTGATTGAAACATGTCATGACCTTGAATACGTTATCTTTCCTCATTATTTCAGATCAACCAGCTGTAAACATGTACTAAATAAGTCATTTTTCTTCATTATTACGGTCCACCAAAACATAAATTGGTACAGAATTTGTGACACCTCCCCCCTTCTATCTACTAGCTGAGAAATGGGTAGTGAGGCTTTGATAGTCCACAGCTTGTTGCAACAGGGGATTGAGCTTAGTCATTTATACATGAAATAAAGTTATTATTTACAGTGAAATCTCTAGTATTGGTATTGAAATTGTACGAAGCAAATTTCAAAAGGGAATCAAGCTGTCAGTAATAGAAAAGGGAGATGTTTGGCTTATCATTCAGTCTAATTAATATTAGACTAAGCCTTCGTTCCGTTTTTTTTTTTATTACCTTTTAATTTAGCCACTTCAGTTAGGGTCTAACGACGGACGTCTTGAGCATTCGTCAGTTTGATGATACCACCCAGCCAATCAAATATCTTGCAAATCTTACCTTTTTACTGGAATTTGTCTTCAAACTACGTAAGTAAACATCATGAGCTGCCTGTTGTAAGGATTGTATTAAAGGCATTCCTTTATCTAACTGCTGTTTAACAACTACACCACATCGCAGTAGGTCAGTTATAGTAGGCTTCTCTGTGTATGGTAGTTCCTGTTTAACACTGTCATGTACTGATATTAGCCAATGTTTGATGCTGTAACTACGTATACCGATACCCTCTAACATTGATAGTATGTCTAGTCTACTATATGTACAACCATCAACCTACAAATATACATATTAAGATGCTATTTAAACGCTATATTAGATCTATTGCTATCTGTTATCAGGGTGGGGCCACGTTCGACAATTTTACCTTGAGGAATACCATACTTACGATAAACTGGAATGAGACCCTGATGTTTTTCCCATGCAAATTCCCCTTAGTCTAAAGTACCTCAACTTTATATCTCATATGGGGACAGATTAGAGCACAATAGCTCAAGGTAAGGAAATTATGACCTTATCTGCTCAATAATTTGGCACAAATGGTGGTTGTTGGTTCTAATCTTTGTCAGTGTCTGAAGGTCTCATGGCCTTGAATAAACCATCTATCCCCAGTATCCCAGTCTGTAAATGTGTTCAATAGTCAGCAAAAGAACAGAATGAAATAGAAGTAAAACATACCTCTCCTGGTATATAAATTTCTACTCCTCTATTTCTCATAGCTCTAGATATCTCACCATATTTACTGTCCATAGCTAGAAACAATCTGGAAAATAAAATAGCCAAATATCATTTCTATAATAATCAAGATGAAAGATACAGGTCTAAAGGTATTTTACTGAAACATGATGATGTCTTCTCGAATTGAATTCGCTAAAAAAATTAGTTTAACTCCATTTGATGCTTGATGACATACAATTTGACATACAATTTGACATATAATTTGACATCTTGGCCAATGTTTTCATACTATATAGAACAGCAGTGGGTATCAATTTGACATACAATTTGACATACAATTTGACATCTTGGCCAATGTCTTCATACTATATAGAACAGCAGTGGGTATATCATGCATAGTTTAAAATAGGTATTAATGAATTACCTGAAATTAGGGTGCGGTTTAATAGTGGGTATCTGTCCATCAATAACACCTCTTTCATTAACACTCAACACACCTCCTGGTTCTAATAACGCATTTAGTCTATCTAGAACACTGGCACTGAAATAATACACAATATTGTGATGAGAAATTTTGAACAAAATTTTGGCATCCTACACTAAATATGGATGGATGGAACAAGAAATGAACACACAGTTAAAAGACCAATATGTGATTACCACTTTGTGATTAGTAAAATATATTGACACAGCACTATGGAAGATAAAGATATCACTATTATGTTTTATGCCAAGTTTAAGTATTTATGTGGCCTTCTAATTAATAGTACCAAAAATAGTAGTGTATAAAGTTATATTACCTGCAGAAATTAACGTTATCTATCAATAACCAATGTCCAGATATCAAAGCTTTAACTAGTAGACTATCAATCCATTCGAACGCACCTCCACCACGACCTGGTTCACTCTGTATCAAGGTCTGATTAGTCTTCTCTAATCTTACTAACAATATTTCTATTTCTCCTGGAAATAAAAAATAAGTTCAGTTGTTTTTTTTTAAATATTAATTTGTCCCAAGCGTGGAATTCTACATTGATAAGCATCACTTTTTTGACAAAAATTGGTTAATTGAGAAATAGGGTTGAGGTGTTGTCAGTTTGTCATCATGACCATACAGTGTGTAATGGAGAAATTCATCTATTTTGCTATTTTCTCACTGCATGTCTTAAGATTTAAATATGCAGAGATGTCCACTAATATCTCTACTAGACTGGATTATAAGGCTGGGGGTTTAGTGTTGAGAAGGGTTCACAAAATTTCCAAGGACTGCCCTTCCATAGAAAAACCTCTGATCCAATAAATAAGATTCTAGAAAATATGAATGACATTTCGTTCTTTCGTAATTTCAATTATATATTTTTTTTATAACTACTTTCATCTAAAAACTGTCGAAATCATTAACTCACTGCTATCAAGATGACAACTTTTTACAAGAGTTCAATTTCAATTATGTTAACAGACAAGAAGAGATCTATTTATAATCAATAAGTGAAGCCATTCTGATTTTTTTTATCATGTAATTGAATACCAGTTGGACACTTTTATGTCACAGTTGACTTAGTACAGGCCAGGCCAAATCAATCTTGTTCTTAGAATTAAGTGCAATAGCTCAGTTTGTGGGAGCGGGATTGTTGTCCATTTTCGTAGACTCTAGTACCAACAAGGACAAAATAAATTCAAATATTCTCATGTTTGATTTCTAACAGAAATATAAATCATGTCATGATTTCTGAGCTTTTATCCTGAGTTTTAATTCCATCAAGATATTTCTTACTCTATACAAACCAAGTCAAAATTAATTTAGTTCTTACAAATGAACTGGATAGCTCAATAGTTCAATAGTCATCTTCCAAGAGACAAACAGGCTGAATAGAATCCAGATTCATAGCAGAAGTTCAGTTATATTCAAGTCATACTCATATCCCCTGATTTTCAGCCGTTTTTTTCCCATTACTTAGTCTTATAAAGACACTTAAAATCATAATCATCTGGTACAATTCATGTGTGCGTATAAAAAGAGCTTGCCAAAATGGGAGAGTACTGTATAATTGATGGCTGAAGTGTTGCATAGTCCAACAGATTTACTCTGACAGATCCTTATAATAGTTATCATCCAATAAAAATACAGAACAAGTTTGGGACTAGTTTATACAGAAATCAATAGATAAATGATAGATGAGATAAAATAAGTTAAGAGTAATATTAAACTATCAAACTTGTTCAATTTAACTTGTGTTCCTGTCAGATTTGATTGTTTCTTTAATATCCTATTGTTTAGACTAGTGCACAAATAATCAATTTAAAGTTACACAGTTAACGATTAACTCCATAAAGATTGCTTTGATAGAAGTATATGATCTAAAACTTTTAAGCATTCCAGGCAAATGTTTTTTGTTAATAGGTTATGATTTCTTCAATAAAGATTGCCATCATGGAAGACAGACTGTATATCTATAAAGTTCATTTCCAGAAAAATGATTTCCGTAAGTTTTCCTTCATGGAGTATAGAAAACATGTATTGTAACTGTCGTTCATTTTCATCATTGAGTTATAATTAAATAATAGTTTACAATAAGTTCTGTAAAGATTGCCTTAAACAATGGAAGTTCTAAAGCCAACAGTTTTCATTTTGTCTGTGTCATGAGTCTTTTCAGTTTTTCCACTCTTATTGAACAGTTTTCAGCATATGTGTTGCAAGCACTTGCCAGTCACCTAGCAATACAACAGCACAACTAGATAATTTCCACTAGCTGATTACCTATCAATACACCAGCACAACTAGATAAAATCGTCTGTAACATTTTGTAACATTGAGTTTATTGGAGATTTCCTTGATTGAATACCTATTATTAAGTTGCAACTGCATCAGTAGGATATAATCATGTATATCAACTAGTATTTTTTGAACCGTTTAGTTTAATGAAGATTTCCTAGATAGAAGACTTACTATTCAGTGTTCTTACTGTAACAGGAATATGCTGTCTTTAATATAGTATACATCAAACATATAAGTAATGGAACAGTTATCAGCAAATATTTTGTTGCACCGCTGGTTAAGGGTTGACAGTACTGCATAACGTGTTCACAGAGATAAAATCGTCCAGTATATTGTGTGCCGGTTATGTTTATTGAAGATTTCCTTGATATAAGACCAATAATGAATAGTTATTTCAAGAGGAGAGGAGTGTCTTTAGCATAGTGCAAATCCAAAATATTAGTTATTGGACAGTTTAAAGGAAATCAAGAGCTAAATTGATATGACATGTTTTGTAACATTACAACAGTGTGATTCGTTACGTTTAATATTTGTAATATTTTCCTTGATAGATGACCTATTCAGTGTTCTTACAGTATGGTGTATAGTGAATATCCAAAAGAATAAATAATTGAACAGTTTAAAGGAAATGTGTTGTTTCAAGAGTTACCTATTGATATGACATGTTTTGAAACCTATCCAGTATGATTAGTTTATTTCAGTAGACTATTTGTAATGTTTGCTTATTGAACTCAAGTCTATTTCAACTTGTTCTATTAAGTGTGGAGTATTTATTTTATTCCTGTGGTAGTTGTCATGGATATAAGATGTTTTGTGAGTCTTGGGAAATGGATTTGGATTCCAACAATTTTCTAGTATCATTTGTACAAATACTTCCAATGAAAATATGTTTCTTTTGAGTCTTTAATTTGGATTTCAGAAATTTTTCCATGGTAAGTAAATTTGTCAGTTTGTGCAATTTAACAGTGATCTTTTAGTGTATCTTCGTTCATGAAATTTTGTGGAACCACCTTTCAATGTTTTAATAAAACTTGTATCAATTCATAGATTTGCTTACCTGTTTTGATTCAGTTAATCACAAAATCACCATTTTTTATAAGTAATTGATAAATGGAGAGTAAAAATATCTAACTTACCGTTAAGGTCTAAATCTACAATATTTGGTAGACATTGTAGAATATGTTTTAGACTCTGTATACGTTTTATTAATAATCTATATTCTTCTATACTTGATGATCCTTTACCTATATTACATAGAATATAAGATTCTGAGTAAGAAAATATACCTCATTAATTCTGGTTAGTGAGGCTGTCTGACTTTGCTAATTTTAAACACTCTAAATTTATTTTCATATTTCGAGAATAAAGGGGGGTAAATTTCATATAAAAAATATTGACATACCTAAAAAGTTTTTTCTCTTATGCTTTAAAAGAATTTAAAAATAATTTTATCTTCTAAATTAAAATCTCACAGATAATTGAGCCGACCAGAAAAAGGCAAACAGTTTTTACATCCCACAAAAATACTTTTTAATAAAATAAATTCAAGTAAACATTTGAATTATTACATTCGCTTTGTGGCAGGTTTGAAAATATTCAACAACAAAAGATATCTTCAGAGAAAAATGTTTAAATTGTAAGCACAAAAATGTTTATAAACAAGTTCAAGAGATCAAAATGAAGACACTCTGTTAATGCATTTTAAACTTTAAAAAAATAAGTGCAATCTCTTTTCACGTGAAAGTCATTAGATGTTTCTTTTAAATGGTAAATACAATCAGCATTATATCATCAGGGAAATTACACCTCATTGACTACAGCAATGACTTGAAATTCTAAATAACACATGAGCTATCTTGAGAATAAGATAATGAGGACGTCTTCCTTACTTCCGAGAAAAACCAAATTACCCAATTCTTTTGGGACAAACATGGAATTGAGTAAAAAAGTTGTAATTTGCTACAAGGGAATCAGAAAGCAATTTTAATCTTAACAAATTAGTGATATTTTAACACCAGGTTTATTCCTTTAGGATACAAAAAATAGTTTTTAAAAAAGTTGAAAAGGAATTGTTATCATTTCAACAAAAGACTAATTTGTTCAAAGATACTAAGACGAATTATATGCCAAAAATTATTTTAAACTTCAAAGCCGATGAGAAAGAAAATTCTGGTTAATTCAATCAGCAATTTTGACAATGTAATTTATTTTATAATTTTGTTAGTAAAGGACAATTTGTTCAAGGTTGTAAAAAACAATTTAAAGCAAAACTATTTCAATTACGAAGTTGAACGACAGGGAATTCTTGATTATAATTCAATTGTGGAAGTAATTTTGTGAATGTAATTGATAAATTTGTTGTTCGGACCCCAGGTTGATTTTGTCAGATGCTGTTACTAAGTTACTGCTCTATGGCTTTAAATTTTCTAGAAGGGGAATTCCCTTGCCAATATCAAACAAGAAAAACACAAAAATTCACAAAACTAGTTAATTTATAAGATAAAATCCATTACCAGTTATTTTGGAACATCAATCAGACAAGACTGGCAAGTAAAATAAAATCAACATCCCTGGGTAAAATGTAATCGGAGTGAGTGAAATAATGAGTCTATTGTGTGAAAAGAGAGTATTATCCCAAGTTTTATTAGAAACGAGACTTCATTTCAAGGGTTTAAATTACTGCGACTGACTAGATCTCCATATCATTACTACACTAATATCAACCTTAACACTAACAATTTCTTCAAAGCTGGCAAATTTATTGAAAAAGAAACCTTCAATTTCTTCACAATGCTGTTGTCAATCAAAGTTAAAGAGTACAGAAGTTTTAAATTGACGCCAATTTCAATTATCCTGCAGTTATTGAGTATCACTCTCTGACATTTCGCCATAAAAAACCTGACATTTAGACTTACAAAGTATTAGACCTAAAAATGTAACATTCTATCAAATTGACAAAGCATTATATTTTTTCTGCGAAAAACGAAATTAAGGTAACAAAGACCAGAGGAATATAATCATGGTGCTGGGATTATAGGAATTACAGGGATTGGGAGTTTTTTATGTTGTATCTGGGAAACTGATTACACAGTTCTAGTTTTCTCAGTCAGATGGCTGTGGTTCCTGTATAAGTATAGAATGCTTAACTGAAACATGACATCACTATTGCAAGAGCTGTTCAGTAAATCTGAAGGCCTTTAAATTTATGATAATTGAATCATATTAGGCCACAGATGTCTGACTTAAAATTGTAAGGGTGCAATCAATATCAGTGTCCCTGATACACATACAAAGTTTAGAAAACCTCTTTACCATTTATTTTAGACACTATGTTGACACTGTAAACACTGTCTTTTTTGTGACAGAGGAGTAACTTCATTGATGATGAGCTGAATTGTTGCCGCTCCAATTTGAAATGGAAGCTTTCTAATATTGGAGTTCAGACGTATGAGGAAAATAACTAACCTGCTAATGAAAGCTGTGTATAATGGGACCATAGTTGATGTAATTTTTGTACTGGTCCTGTAGTCATACTGTGTTTATTTATTAATATTGCCCTCTGATATCTATCTAGTAATATATTCACATCGTTAGATATTTCTTCTACATGTCGACTAACATCAGCCTGTAATAGACAATTGACAATTAATAATCACTAAAACTGCTGAAAAATATAAGACAGAGCGAGCATAGACATAACATATGGAACTAGATTCAATAAGTAATCCATTTCAAGCATTAAGGGAAGATTATTCAATCATTTTTAAATGTAACAGAATTAGTTCATAGGCTTCAAAAACATTGGACTGCTAGGAGAATAGTTGTGTTGAAGCAAATTCATAGATCCTTTTCTGAAAAGTGTTGCCTTTAATTTGAAAAATTCTTCAGAATTCCTGAATCTAACTGCTCGAACTAATCAAGTTTTTTTTCTGTATGGACTTATATAATTGTGACTGATCTGGGACTCATAATTCATTATTACAGATAAATAACTCATAGATTGATATTTTGTGGGGTCATAAATATTTGAATATTCTCCATCTCCCTCTCACAGGAAAAAGAATGATTTCACAATAAAAAATGTCGAATATCTCTTCTAGTTTTAAAGGAGAACAAGTGAAAGCTACAAGAATAAAGCAGACAATACTTTGAAGTTGTAATTATCTCACAGACTGAGGTTGTTCCAGAAAGTCAACAATCTCCCAGTTATTTGGTTGGAGATCAAAGATGTCAAATTGAGTTCAGAAAATTGGACCGAGGCTTTATTTTTAATCAATAAAAGAGAAAATTAAAAGACAAATTTTGTAACCACCTCCATAAAATACTCATAAAAAACTTGAGAATATTGGGAAGGAGAGACAGGGGGATCATGACAGGATTATCATCTGGCTTACTGCCAATTATATCACTAGGAACCCCAGACAATCAGCTGGAAAATTCATTCATGGCTAACCTAATATAACCCTGCTATTAATACCCTACTTAATTCCCTTCTATTATTAAACATAGATCTGTCTAAAATATATCATTTTTTATTCAATATCAGCACTCGTGCTTTAGAATTCTCACAGACAGCCATTTTAATCTGTTAAAAGTCATTTTGTATTACAAATAGTTACCATAAAATACCTCAGGAGCCAGTGTTCATCCACAATAACTTGCAATCCATAAAATAATGAAATGCAATATAGTGAAAGTTGAAAAAATAAATTTTCCTCCAAAACATAATGAAAACACTGGTACTGAGACTGTCCTTTCTGTTTGAAAACTTAAGACTTAATGAATATAAAAAGAGAGAAAGATCTGAAGTAATGAATGTGCAGAGTGATGAGATCACATTGGTGAGTTGAACAGAAGCTCATCAATGAATTAAGTATAAAGAAGATAGAACAGGGTGAACAGATTTGAGTTGATTGTTAATATTTGTGACTATGTGTTCAGTGTGTAGATTTGAGTTGATTGTTAATATTTGTGACTATGTGTTCAGTGTGTAGATTTGAGTTGATTGTTAATATTTGTGACTATGTGTTCAGTTTGTATGTTTGTAATCCTTAAAGCAGTGCTGGAACAAGAAAACCTGTACACTATATTACATAAATCTAATTATTGAAACACAATATTTAAAGCTAACATGCTCTAATCAAGAAATATCAACTACTGATGGGCATGTCTGGCTTTTATATTGGGTGGCTGGAGATCATATTTCTTCAACAAGTTTGGCACCTTGTAGTAAATAGGCCAGACCAAGGGCAGACAAGCGAGCTTATTTAATTTTATATTATTAATCTTGGTATAATTACAGCACAGTAGCTTTAATTAAGACTTTGATTTTCTTATATATCAAATTGTCTACAAACAAAGGGGAGTAATCAATTTTATTGTCTTTTCAGAAGCCACCACCTGAACCTAATCTACAGAAGATGAAAATTTGGAGAATTTAAGCTTTTAATCAAAATAACACGAGATGTAATCAGAAAGGGATTGTTACAACAGATGAGACGACCATATATGTCACTATGACGACAGGATATATGTACGGGGAATCTCAAGATTCTAGGATGTACGAGGAAATTTTGTCAATTAATCTGACGTTAGAAAAAAATGTATCTCATGAAGATAAAACAGAAGGTGCGATTTTATTTATGGTGGCCATTATCGCTGGATTTGGTAACCTGTGCATTGTGGGGGCTATCATGACCATAAAAAAATTCAGGAAAACATCTTCCGCATTTTTATGTCATCATTGTATATTGGATTTTTTAAAATCGTTATTCTGTATACCGTTTGGTTATAGTTTGTTAATGGACACAGATATACAAGAATGTAACATCGTTGGTGCTTCGTATATTTTTTTAATGACGGTGTCCGCGTATAATTTATTAGCGTTACTAATGAACGAGGAATATCACATCATGGATACAACCAATAAAATCAAAGGAAACTATTGTTGTGTGATGTTCGGAATATTCATGATTTGGTTTACGACTATATTACTACATCTGGGCGTGGCTTTTATCCCAGGGAGCACGGAATTTAATGATAATATCGGTAACTGTGTGTTTACGTACGGTGTACCAAGTAATTATGTTATACACGTTCTGTGGATTTTACTTGTATCAGGGGCAGTAATTCTATCTGTAGTGACCTTTACGACATTTTATCGTAAATTACAATGTGAATCTAAAGTAAAACAATGGAAGATGATTCATAAATCTATGTCACATGAAATGAACGATGACGGCGAAGATGAGGAACTCCATTTTGAATTTGACGACATTTCTAGTACTAAAGCTGTAGAACATGCTAGAATATATATGAGACGAATCACACTAATGGTTCTAATGGTGGGCACGTTCGTGTTATTTTGGTATCCGTTGTTCTTATTAACGTTATTCGACAAAGATTTCAAACAATCGGCTAAAACATATCGTTATTTAACCGTATTTGCCTGGTCCCAGCCTATAACTACCCCTGTGTTTTGTAGTATAATATATTACGATGTTTTAAACAGACAAACATTAGTACGTGAAGTATATAGCAATGCCATTCCGTTAAAACCCTCGCATTCCAAGGAAGTTATACGTCAGAAGATACAGAAACGATATAAAGCCTACGATACAGGTTTTAGAAATGAACATTATCAAAGTCATCAAGCTGAAGTACTGACTAATTGTTTAAGTGAAATACAAGATCTCGATAGTAATAGTAATAGTGATAATGAAACATTGGTAACTTATGATAATTCATTACGTAGAAATGTTCCGCACCAAACACTTATATTATAGTCTTTAGTATTTCAGTATAAAATCTTTCAAGAAAACTTTCTTGCATGACATGTGACAACTGGAGAATAAAAATCTGGACAAATGGATAACAATTACTTGAATAAATAACTGGACAAATGGATAACAATTACTTGAATAAATAACTGGACAAATGGATAACAATTACTTGAATAAAAAACCTGGACAAATGGATAACAATTACTTGAATAAATAACCTGGACAAATGGAAAACAATTACTTGAATAAATAACTGGACAAATGGATAACAATTACTTGAATAAATAACTGGATAACAATAAGTTGAATAAATAACCTACAACTTTTTCATGATACTCTAAGCAATATCAAACAATATAAAATGTTGCAA